ATGAGGACCCAGACTGTGGGGGCGATATGCTGACTCTGTAAACCGCTTAGAGAGGGCTGACAGCCCTATGAAGCGGTATATAAGTCTAACTGCTACTGATCACCTTAGCCACTTTGCAAGGCCGCCAAAGACTGGGCTCCGTCAAATAGAGGTCTGTTTCTATCCTTTAAGAAAAGCTCAAGGGACGGTAGTTTGCTCAAGCCCCCCCCCCGGTTGAAAAAGAGTTAGAAGGGGGGGCACTCCTCCTGCCTTCCTTTCCCCGCAGGAGCCTCTTGGTGCCGGGGAGTTGGGGCGGGGGCGTCGGCTGTGGCGCCCGGGGTCTCTGAATTGGAGTCAGCTGGAGGGGGCTGAGCTCCGAGCCCCGCCGGGGCGGAACCCAGCCAAGCCCTGCCCCGCAGCACCTCCCGGGGCCTCCCTTGCAGGCCGGCTGGACCAGGAACTGCCGGCAGGAGCCAATGAAGGGCCGGGGCCGCATCAGCGGCACCTCCGGCTTGACGTGGGAGACGCGTCAAGTTGAGCCGAACTGAAACGGGCTGCGCCGCTTCCTTCCCGGCAGCAGACGTGGAGCTCCACGCGCGGGTCTAGTCCGGCCTCGACTCCCAATTGACCGGGGAGCTCGGCTCACCTCTCTATGCGCCGGGCGGACGGACATCGGCGGGCGCCACTTCTCGCCGGCCATGGGTAAGGGCGGGCAGGCGCTTGGAGGGAAGAGGAGGAGGAAGAAGCGTTGCTCTTGGTGGGGAGGCAGCCGCAGGCGGAGGGGGATCCTCGGCCCCCTCGGTTCTAGGGACCTGGGACCAGCCGCTAGAAAAGGATGCCGGCTCTCCTGACTGGCAAGGCGCACTTTCAGCCGCGGTAGGAAGTGGGGAGGCGCTCCTGCCTCCAGAAGTGGAGAGGGGGAGGCATGCGGAGTAGAGTGCCCGCGGGCGGCAGTAACCTTCAGAGATGGTTTGGATGAGAAATCCGTTTCAAGTAGAGAATTGTCCCTGTAGAACTTCCCTTCTTTTCCCAGGAACTCCAATTCCGCGGAAAACCCTCTCCTGGCCTAGAGATTTCAATTAGCCAATTGTAATTCCATTTGCTGTCTTAGGTTTACTCATCTAAGTTGGGCCTTTTTCTTTTAAACACTTAGTAAAAATAATATAAATCTGTAGATTGCACATAACGCTCATATGACCATTATAACAATTTATCATATTGCATGATATCATTTCAGAATTATTTAAGATGCAGGCATATTTCAAAATAAGAACATAATGTGCTTGCCATCTGACCAATTAAATATATTCTAAATATATTTAGTTCATATGGTGCTAGATATTGTGGGTAAATTGTTTTCCACAAATCTTTTTTTTTTAATTTGCAGTCAAAAGCAGCCTAAAAGATCGCCCGTTTATTTGGCTATTCAGATATTTCCAATTTTGTTGTCTTGAAGGAGCTCTGTCCTTTTATTTCAACCTATTAAGGAATCATATATATTTCTGATTATCTTTTAATGATAGGAATTCATTTCTATATTTCAGATGTAATCATTTTCCGCAGGTGACCGTAGGTTAATATCATTGAACCCTAACCCTAACCAATTGATATCATTGGCTTTGGTTAACATCACAGATTTGAAATTTCTCATGAGGATTCATTATATTAAACTATCAGGTTAATATTTACACGTGTTATTTTGACACCCGCTTAGTAAAATCCTCCAATGAATGGACTAAAGTGCTGGAGAACCTATTGGTGTGAAGGCAGCAGATGTACCTGAATTGATATAGGAAAGTACACGAATTGGCATTCCTTGTAAAAGGAACTTTGTTGAGACGTTGCCAGAATTTAAGCGATAAGTTCAAATTAAAAAGTAATTATATATAAACTTTTGGAAAGACATGTTTGGGAATAGGACATATTCTAGCCAATGGTCAGATGTAACATTTAAACTATATTGCCCTGCTCATTAAAAGGAATAGCCAGAGAATTCCATGAGTTATATATAAGGTGTAACTCATGGAATTCTTTGGCTATTCCTTTTAAAGAGCAGGGCTAGCCATACCCTTACTGGGATTTGAGCCTGGGCTATATTGCACACTAGGCATACTAGGCAGAGATCTTA